CGGGCGCACGGGGGGGAGGACCTTGTCCCCCCTCGGGACTCCTGGTGAGGGGCAGCGGCCGGTCCCCAACGGGAGGGACTGAGGGATGCGCTGGACATGGAGGAGGTTGAATGCTGCCACGGGTGCGAGGAGGGAGCCACAGCCCTTTTTTGGGTGCAAAACGAAATGGTTCGGGGCTGACTCCTGCTCTTCTCGCCTCTCAGCCCCTCTCGCCCTAGCAGCATGCTGACCAGCTTCCACTGACAGAAGAAACCACTGAGACCCCCCCCATGGATGGAGACCCCGAGATAAACCCACCCTGGCTCCAAAGCAGGGAGATGCTTCTTGCCATCACCCTGGGACGCAAAGTCAGCATGGTTTGAGGAACTTATAATCCATCCATTACAAAAATAAAACCCTGAAAAACCCCACCCGGTGCAGCACAGCACTTGCATCGCAAACAATCCCTTCGACTTCTGCTTGGCTTCACCTGCACAGTCACAGAAATGGTTGTGACGGGCCCAAGCCGGGGATTCGGGATCCAGAGCAGAGATGCTGCAAAGCTGCCGGCTTGCAGAAGGATGCGCGGAGCCGGACGCCACCAGCCCCTCGGGTTGCTCCCACTGCCAAGGCCAGATCCGGATCTCCTTCTTCACTTGGGCCCGTCCCTAAGTGCATTGCAAGCTCTGGAAAAGCTACAAAGACTTTGGCAGCAATTTCAAGGGCTGACCCAGGAATTATCTGATAACAAAGCAAGGCCCTTCCTGAAATACCTCCTCCTCCTCTGTCTTTTTCTCTCCTTCTGTGTATTTATGTACAAATATGCCCATATTTATACACCCACGTGCTGCACTCTCATAACACCAATCTAGAGATCTTTTTTTTGTATAGCTCAGTATTCACATCTGTAGGACTTTGTCACAACATGCTGCAGAGATTAGGTTTCCCAATAAAACACATTGCCCCATACAGATATTTTTTTTCCTAGCAGCCCTAATCACTTGATGGTGTCCAGCCGGTACATGAGCCTCACCCCATTGCCCTTAGCAGAGATTTTGGAAGATATTAAAAGACTGATGGGTTGCTCACAGGTTCAGGCATGTGGTTGGGTGTTAGAAGACAACCCGCGCTGTAATCACCACTTTCCATCTCTCCAAAACCACGGCACAAAGGATTAAACTAAAATACAGGTGCTGTCTCCTCTGGGTGCCAACCCAGGAGCACGTCCACAGAGCAGAAAGCTTCAGTCCTCCATCCCAGCCCTGGAGAGAGGCAAACATCTCCACAGGAGGGGGAAAGGAACCAGACCACCTACGTTAGGTGGCCCGATGCAATCTAACGTAGATGGTGGGACTCTCCTGCTCCCCGGTCCCTAATTTAGCATCCTCAGTCTAAGCCACTTTAAAGCTCATTTTTGCACCCTTTCAGAGTCAAGGGGAGTTTTGGATGCTCAGCATCTCTGCAGAAACAGGCCCAGAGTCTCTCAAACCAAATTCCTCAAGAAAAAAAAATTAAAAAAAGAAAAAAAAAGTCAGTCTCCTCCTGAAAAACTGGTTCAAGATCACATCAGTGAGTCAGAAGCAAAGCTAGAAATAGCACTGGAGCTCCGACCTGCAGGCACAAATCCCATTAAAAGCTATAGGGGAACCATTTCTCTGTGCCAGGGAGAAACCTGGACCCCTCTGCTTCGTGCAGCCTGACGGATCACTTCCAGCCACGGCCCCTTTTTGCCCTGAACCAAACATCCGAGCGCTTATCCGGGTGTTTTCCCTATTTCCCAAACATGGTGCCAAGAGCAGCCCAGAGACATTCTCCCACCAGGGCTCATTTTCCCCAGGAACACCTGCCTGGGTCAATGCAAGAGGTGCAGGATCCATCCTAAGGAAGAGACCGGCCGTGCTGGCCCCTGCCATGGGGACGGATGCCAGCTCACATTGGTGACAACAGGAGGAACGTGGCCTCTTGCTCTTTGGCCCTGTTCATCCCTGTGATGTGGTTCTGGGGCTTCCCAAGGCAGCCGGGACCCCCCAGCTTGGTGAGTGGGTTTGGATGTGCCTGATGCTGCTCACGGACCCGCTCTCCCCTCCTGCCCAGCCTCGGAAAGCCCGCAGGGACACTGTGCCCAAAACAACACCTCTCCCCAAAAAACCATGATCTTCCTCCCTACTGAACCACAACGGCGTTCACGCTCCCAACTGGCAAACGCTCCCCCCAGATCATCCGAAGCCCACAGGCATTAAACAACCGGGCACATTGCAAAGTCTAGTTGAGTGCCAGCATCCTCTCAAAAACCCTGCAGCAACCTGCCCTCGGCCTCGGTGCTTTCCCGCGCACTAGGGATGGGATCGCCCGGTGCTAGGGGCACCCATGGGTGGGCGGGCAGAATCCCAGCGCATCAGGCAGCTTCCCCATGCAAGCTCACATCCCCACGGACCCACCACGAGCCGGATCGATGGAAGCTGGCCGACCGCCCTGGGAATCGCGCCCGAGCCGGTGGCTCACGCCAGCCCCATCCCATTCAACGGGATGAGCTTCAGAAGCAGAGATTTATTGCTGTCGGTTGCATTGCTTCTTTTTGTGAGTGTTTAAGATGTTAACGGGCTTCAGGAGCCCCCATTTCAGAGCTGCAGCAGCAGAGAGGGAGGAGAGGGCTCCTAATATAACAAGATGTAATTAAAAACAGGCCGGGGTCCCGGGCTGTGTGGTGCTGAGCACCTTTGAGACCCAACGCATTGATGCTGCTGATCCTCTGCGCCAAGCAGAAACCAGGACTCTCGTGCACTAACCATGGACACTTGGTATTAATTATAGCCAGGCCTGAATCAATCAATCAATAAAATAAAAATGAGGAGTGATTCCACCTGGCCGAGTGGAGCCACATCAGCACGAGAGATGGATCCGGCCCTAAAGCAGCATTTTGAACCATTGCTGTAGAATACGCTAGCACCGTTTATTTTATTGTTATTAGTATGGTTTTCCTCTCTGAGCTCAGGAAGGGTCTGAGTGACCTCCCTCGCACGCTCTGCCGTGGGGTTCCCTCCTTGTGCCCACACTTCACCGCAGCGGTACAGCACTGGCCGTGCCCCAGTTCAGCCCAAATTCACTCCAACTCAACAGGCTGCTAAACCCCATCCCGCACCCCGGGGAGGCTTTGCTTGACCCTGGTCCTGGAAGAGATTCGCATCGCTCTCCCATGATCTGGCAGAGGAATGGGGCACCCGTCCCCGGGGATTGTTGGCAATGGGGGAAAATGCAAGGAAATCCAGATGGGGATGGGGAAAGCAGGTGAGATCCCCCTGGACTGACAGCTCCCACCTATCTCCAAATAACACCAGGGATGAAGAAGAAGCAGAGACAACCTCAGGGTCTCTGCACCTTGACTCACCCCTCCTAAAAACCCTGGAAGAAGGCAAAGCAAAGGCTCAGAGGCACGAGCTCGGATCCAGCTCAGCCTCAGCACGTGCCCTCTGCACCATAAGGGAATAAACCACCAGTCCTGAGGCTCTACATGGTTGAAAAGGAGTTTTCCAGCCCGAAATGCACCCTGCCCTGGCAATCCCAAGGGCAGGTCATCCCGCTCCAGCCCATGTCCCACCATCCCAGCACCCCTGAGCCAGGAAGCCCCCGATGCCCTGAGCGCTCACGTTTGCTGAGGATTTGGCCCTATAGTCGCTCTCTAAATATCTATACACACACACATGATAATTGTACAAGAAACGGCTGAAAATTGCTGAACAAACAAGTCAGGAGAGCCGGTACCTGCTATCCCACCTGCTCCTCATGCCCTCTCCGATCCACCACGGTTTCTGCTCATGACGCCAAGATTAATGACTAATTACTCGCCCCATAATGAGTGCAGGTGTTTAACTTTCAGCTCACCTTCCCTCGCTTGCATTAGTCGGCTCTCATGTCTGGATGCTCAGACACTCAGGCTTTGCCTTGTTATCTATCAAACTGTTGTCAGCACATACCTTCCCCATCCAGTTTTTAAATACAATGGAGAATTTTTAACTCCCATGAATCTCCTTCGAGCCACCGGAGAATCTATAAACACTATAAACATGAATACTGTATAGTCTACTAAGAAAATATATATTTGTGTGTGTATTAAATATTCAGATTCATGCAACAAATATCCATGCAGCTGTACTGTATTACTGGTTAAATTTCACTGCAGTATAAATATATTATAGGCCACAGCATAGTTGCTCCAGTTTTATATATAGATATAAAAAAAGATGCTTTTTCCAACTCATTTTCAATGTGTCAGTGGAGGTGTCTTTGGTGATCTTGGAAATATTGGTGATGGAAGTGTCATCTAAATAAATAAATAAAATCCAAGCGCTTGATTTATTTACTCATCCCTCCCGATGCCTAGCATAGAAAATTTAAGACTTAATAAATAATGTGCCGTCATACTAATTATCCCTCCCCTGGGCCTCACACTGGCATACTGCAGTGGCTGAAACTATTGCAGCATGCAGCATTTTCAGTTATGAAACATGAGCCTGGGCGATGCGTTCGCACTTGGCACTCCCAGGGCGGAAGCCCGAGCCTTCAAGCAATTCGGACACACGGCTGCATCTTCCCTTCATTAAGCTCTGCCTGACCTTTCCCAGCCGTTCCCCACGCCTGGAAGCTGGCTGTCACCCAGCTCTGCAGGACAGGGACCGGCGTTTGTGGTACCCCGGGATGGCCCGGAGCTGCCCCTCGCGTCCCCATCCCGTGGCTCGAAATGCCCAACAGCTCCGTATCTTGGGAAAGCCACAAGCCTGGGATGGGAGAAGGGAAACAAAATGGTTCGGGTTTTGTTTTTGTTTTTTTTTTGCACGAACGCTTATTCGGTGTGGAAATCAAAGGTTAAAAGTCACTTACACAGCTATTGCTTCCCATGCAGAACCAAATATACACCGTAGAAAATACTGTATTAACTACAATGCAGAGCAGCACTCAATATCTGCAATTGTTCCACTTCAGCTTTAAATACGTTACTAGATTTTAGCGACTAGACATCGGTTAGCATTTTGGTGATATTCACATAGTTTGTGTTAGCTAGGGTGCAATTGGCTGTCTTCAAGTTCTCCTCCCTAAAATCCTCATTGCTATTGTTTACGCCTTCCTGAATCTCCATATAATCAGACTTACTAATAGTAGAGGCACTTCTGCTTTTCTTTAGGTCAGGGGAAGAGGGGATCTTTGGGCAGCTGGTTACTTGCAAATATTGAGCCTGCTCCTCTCCCTCCGTCTCCCGGTGGTAGAAGTAATTGAAGTTAGACACTATGACGGGCACTGGTAAGGCAATCGTTAATACGCCAGCGATGGCACACAAGGAACCCACTATTTTCCCCCCAATGGTCGTGGGGACCATGTCTCCGTAGCCAACAGTCGTCATGGAAACCACGGCCCACCAGAAGGCATCGGGGATGCTCGGGAACTGGGACTCGCTCTCGTCGGCCTCGGCAAAGTAGACGGCGCTGGAGAAGAGGATGACGCCGATGAAGAGGAAAAATATCAAGAGGCCCAGCTCCCGCATGCTGGCCTTAAGAGTCTGCCCCAGGATCTGCAGCCCCTTGGAGTGTCGGGAGAGCTTGAAGATCCTGAAGACCCGCACCAAGCGGATGACTCGAAGGATGGCCAGGGACATGGCTTGCTGGCCTTGCTGACCATCCTCCGGCTTCTCGGCCAGCTCCGTCCCTAAGGTGATGAAATAGGGGATGATGGCTACAATGTCTATAATGTTCATGATGTTGGTAAAAAACCCAGCCTTGCTGGGGCAGGCGAAAAACCTCACCAAGAACTCGAAGGAGAACCAGATGATGCAAAGTGTCTCCACAATGAAGAAGGGGTCTGTGAAAGAGGTGGACTGCTGGTACCCCATGCTGCTGTTGGAGTAGGGGGGATGGCTCAGCCCGCTGCCGTGCATGTCTTCATTCTCATCCCGAAAAATGGGCAGCGTTTCCAGGCAAAAGCTGACGATGGAGATTAAAATCACCATGACGGAGACAATAGCTATAATCCTGGCAGGGCCTGAGCTCTCAGGGTACTCAAAGAGCAACCACACTTGTCTCTGAAACTCGTTCTCAGGCAACGGTCTTTCCTCTTCTTTGATGTAGCCTTCATCCTCCCGAAACATCTCCATTGCTTCTTCCCCCAGTTCATAGAAGCGAATCTCTTCCGAGAAGATATCTAAGGGCACGTTAACCGGCCTCCGCAACCTCCCGCCAGACTGGTAATAGTACAAAATTGCATCGAAGCTGGGTCTGTTCCGGTCAAAGAAATACTCGTTCCGGAGTGGGTCGAAATACCTCATTCTCTTTTTAGGATCCCCTAGTAAGGTCTCTGGAAACTGGGCTAGTGTCTTGAGCTGCGTCTCAAAGCGCAGACCCGAAATATTAATGACCACCCTCTCGCAGCATTCATGGTCGGTCTCGGGGTTATACGTGTCCTGCGGGTGACCGGGAAGAGCTGCAGCTTCGTCTGCAGGATCTCCAGTAGCAACTGTCATATTGGGGTTTAAAAGAAATCCTTATGCTAAACTCTTCCCAGTGCCCGGTGGTGGGATCGGATTCAGGGCAGGGCTACTATCCTGCAGAAGGACAGGTACGTAGGTTTGGAAGTGTCTCATGAAAAGGCGAAGGGATGATACAAAAAAAAAAGAGAAAATAAAAAAAAAAGGAAAGAAAATCGCCCCTGCTGAGAAAGAAAGAGATGAAATAAAGTTGGGGGGAGGAGAGCAGCTCTCTTCACTAGCGTGTCTATCCCCTTCCTCGGGAGGGTTAATTTGCCTTCTTTGGGACAGAGTTCAAAAACTCCCATCTAAACCCATTAGGTGGAAGAGAGAAAACACCTGAGGAACCGTCACCTATTCAAAACCAGCGCGGAAAAACTGGCATTGGCGAACCAGAACTTTTTTTTTTGGATAAAAATAAAAATTCCAATTAAAAAAAAAAAAAAGAGGGGGAAGGGAAGAGAAAGGAAGGAAGAAAAATAACCCCATCCAGCCCTAAAGTGGCGAGGGGACCCCGCGGGGTGCTGGGGAGAGGCAGACCAGGCTCAGCTCATTCCCAGGCATGCAGCTAAGGGTTAACATTTAACCGTGCAATCTCAGGCAATCTACCCTCCAGGAAAGCTCTAACTCCGGTTTTAAGTTCGACACCTTCCCAATCCTCTTGCCCTGGCCATAAAGCGACGACGAGGCGACATGCTGCCCTCCCTGCCTGCAGCCAACCGGGCAAGCTTTGCGGCTGCCTGAATTTGCAGCTGCCGATGCAAGCTGCCCCGCAGACCACTGCAGTCCCCCTCCTCGACCGCTGGTGTCCCGGCTCCTGTCATTCTCTGCAAACCACCATGGCACACAGAAAACAAATCACATTACCTGGAGAAGCCAAATCTTAGTGTCTCTTAGTAACACCGATTATCTGACCCTGGGGAAATCCTAGAGAGAAATACAGGCTTCCAAGATCCCCATAATTTCCTCTCTCTTCAAAGTTAAAAATAATGGTGAGTCATCGTAGAAAAAGGAGAAGGGACATAAAAGGGGTTAGATTCCCAGATGGTGGAAGTCAGGTCTTGTAATGGTTTGGACTGGAGAGAGAGAGAAAGAGAGACAGAGAGACAGAGAGACAGAGTCTTCTCGGTAGCTGTTGCAGATCTGCACTTCAGGGCAGATGAGCGTCTGTCTGATGCCTTCGGTACGACGGTGAAAAGATGCTAAGCTCAGCAAAACCCGATGTCCCCAGTGTCCTCGGGAGGTGTGGCATCGCCTGGAAAAAACAGCAAGAAGGTAGCAAGCTGCCGGGGGCTTGAAAGGAGCATCTGCAAAGCCCCAGCTCCTCCAGGCACCCCCTTTTTCCTCCCCGCGAGCTGTCTGCCCGCTGCCTGGCCAACCTGCACTGCAACACGAGAAGAGGGCGAGAGCGCACTAGCGGCAAGGCGGAAAAAACCAGAGCCCCATCTCCCTCCGCTCTCGCTCAGCGCCACGGCGTGCAGCGGGGCCGGGCTGCCCGTGGG